TTAGATTGCTAGTGATACTCTGGTGACTGAGTCATATAGATCAGTCTGGTGTATTCTAATAAATACAGAATTGTAACTGTTAACCAGCCCGTGGTCAGCATTTTAAGAAACTTAAACCACTGCCTTGGGTGAATTCAGCTATGCATCAACCGAACGCATTAGTGATTTCAGTTAACTTACGTGTTATTGAAGTTCACTTCAAGTATACTTTATAGAGAACAAGCTTCAATTTTAAAAGAAGCCTCTAACAACTTTTGTAATGGAATATTAGCACAGCACTTGCCTCGAGAGCATATATCACATTTTTGTACTCTAACCAACAGATAGTGGATTCATGACAGTTCTTTTTTCCTATGAAAAAAGAGATTGATTCCCCTGCAATCATAACATTACTACGTGTATACATTATTTCGTGCAGGTAGACTTTTCTGAAAGAATACCTGTAAGAAGTAATGTATACATGTAGTAATGTTAAGATTGCACATATACAGAAAAGAATGAGGAATTAATAAAACTGGATATGGATATTTCATGAAGGTAGCATTCATAGTTTCAGATGAAGTTAGACTTCAGTTAAGCATATGCTATTTTTACACTGTGTTCTAGGGGTGAGACAGACAACCTCCAAACCTGTAGGACTTAAAAAAAAAAAAAATCTTACTATCAAACAGTGGTATTCAACAGTGTACGTGTATACATAAAGCATATATACATGCACTTGGCAGGTAGCTTTGCCACTTACAGAGAATACGGATTACTACAAATGACTGACAAGGAGGAAAAGTGAGTCCGGCTTGGTGTAACTGGATAAAAAGGATGAGGGAACTGTTGTGGCCAACTTCTTGATCCCCTTGATATTATTCATCATCTTTCAGGAGGTGTTCTCCAGCTTCCCCCCCTGAGCTCTCATCCCCACCCCAAATTAAAAACAATCCAGGAGATGGGGGGGGTGTTGGTTTGGTTTTGTTTTCTTACAGTTTCTTTCTTATACCATACTATTTATGGTTGAAGGTCGGTTGCAGGTTTGCTTATTATTATTACATGTGTTATTAGGATTGTGTTGACGTACTCTTTTAAATATTTTCTTTCCCCTTACATGAGAGAAGCACAAGCACTAAGTAGGTTTCTGTAGGGATAGTAACGGCTGAAAATAACAGGTGTTAGACACACAGAAAGTGTTAATTGTGATAGACAAAGTTCATGTTCACGTAGATTTATTTTTCAGTATATAGTCCTTTGTCCTTCATCTCATACTATATAGTGTTGCAGGATTTGGCCTCTGCCCCTGAGCACTAGTTCCAGAAATGTTTTGGCAGCAGTTCAGCATGGTTGTGTTTGCAGAACTGTTTCTGCAAAATATGTTTATTATTATTATTATTATCTGTCTTGAGACCATTCCAGTTTTAGTAATTAAAAAATACTTTGTTAATGACTTGATACGTATAATTTACATAGCAGTAAAATTCAGCATCCCAGAATAATTAACTCATTCTGTTAGCTTCCTTTTGGAAAATGGATGTTGCCTTCTCTCTTAGTCAAGTTAGAATCTTCTTTGTTGTTGAAATTTTGTTTGCATTAGTTGTGGCCTGATGTCTTGCATCCTGTAATTGTACAGAGGAGCAGATCTACTTTAGTCTTTCCAAATGCTTGTGAGGAGTCAACTGCTCTCAGCGAAGGGAAAACAGCAGGAGTCACAGAATATTTATGTTTGAGTTTGGATGTTGTCAAAACAGATGCCAATATTTTGGGTATGTTGTTTTTAACTTTTTATGCACAAAGAAATCAACATGTACGTTTGTCTGTAGTTTCCAGTTGTAAACAACTCATCTCACCCTTCTGAGAATTCAGATTTGAATTGGAGTTTTCTAGTGGTCGAACGTCTTCCAAATTACATTCTGAAATAAGGTGGCACAACTGTCTTTTTGCATCTATCTTGAATTATTCAAAGTGGTAGTTACAAGGAGAAGACAGTCAGTTTTAATATATAGCTATTTCAACTTTTCTAAGGCTTCACCCAGTGTTGCTTTTGCAAGTTAATCTTGGCTGAGATCTTCTGACTCATTGAAGGAAAAATTAATAAAATCTGTCATGTGGTCAGGGGAACTAATTTTTTGCCTCTTTGCTACATTTTTGCCTCTTTCATGCATTGAAATATAGTGTTTTAATGGAATATGTGAGTTTTATTCTTTCAGTTTTTCTTTTTTTAGCCTGTATGCTATGACATCTTACCATTTAGTAGACAATTTATGTGTATTTTTTGTAATGCTTTTAAGATGTTTTTCTAGCTCTTCTTATTTTTTGTTGTTGATTATGGTTTAATTCTTGTGCAGTTTTCCTTGGGAGTTTTGTCAGGTCTTGTTATATAATTGGTGAACAGTAAGACTGTCGCTTTGGTTGTAAGTGATAGCCCTCCATGCTTTTTACAATACTTCTTGGTATGAACAGGCTCCAGCATTGCCTTTCTTTTTGCGTTTCTTTTCTATTTCCCATGCCCATATGATCTAGCAAACCTCAGAGCCACTTGGATTCTGTAGGGCAGAAGCAAAAGGCCTAGGACTAGTTCTCATGTCTACAAGATGTCCTTCTCCTTAACCGTGCTATAGGTACTCCTGTTCTTAGCTTACTGTTTCAAACTGCATCATAGTTGAAACGTGAAACACACATCGTGGAGTAAAATTTAATTTGGAGAGCACCAATTGAGATTGATATGTATGTATGTATATTAAACGTTGTCTGATATTTCTGTTTTTCTTGAGCCTTCCTTGAAGGAAGCCTCCTGAGAGCACCACTCCTCTATGTAGGCTGTTCTCCAGTATTTGAATTCTCCGTGGTTTTTCCATGTTCAATTAACCTATTTGTGAAAGACTCAAACATCAATGGGAAATTGGCACATGGGGGGTAGGGGGACAAAATTAATAAGAAGTACGTTTGTTTGGAACGAATATGGTAAATTGACAGGGGAAATAGTCTTTATAAATAAAGGTTAAAAATAATACCCAAGAAAGTTTTCTGGCTTCTGTTTTGAACATGTGTTTCTACATGATTTAACAATTTTATTTTTTAGACCATCTTTTTATAGCACGGTCATGTATTTTAAAGCCATGCTGTAAATTTTATGGGATTTATCCAATTGTATTTAATTATAGTTGTAATAGTTGTTCCTGCACTTAAGAAAGAGTTTTATAGCTGCAGAGTAAAACAGTCATGAAGTCACTTTCAGGGTGGTATTGCACAGTGTGTTAGCTGGTTGATTTCCCAGAGAAGTTGCCCGATGGCACACTAAACTAAAGCTATGAGAAGCACTGGAAATGTGAGCATGGACGTTTATGGTGTTTGTTTATCTAGTAAACGTTCTCCAAGGTCTCACAAATGAGGTTGCCCTTTCGATTCAATAGCTTGATGTTGGCCCTATGCTTTAGAAAACTTTGAGCCAAATGATTTTCTCTTTCTTTTTCCCCCCGCCTTTGACTGATCCAAGACTGACCTTCAACAAAGAGTGTTTCTGCTTTGTGCTACTTAGAAGAGAGATTAAATCCAATCTTGAGAGAAAGTAGTGTTCATCTTTACATTATTAAAACTCAAAGGAGAAAGATTTGATCAGAGTTGTGAAGAAACTGTCCTATGCCACTGAATTTTGTCTCACTCTACAGCAACTCATTTTATTACAAGATAAAATCATCTTGGCTGTGTGGATCTACAGCAGTCTTAACTTCTTCGGTATTGAGTTGTTTTAGATTTGTGTGTGTAGGTAATGCTTTTCAGCAATCCATTTTAAAATACAGCCTCTTGAAAAAAATCACAAACTAGTGTTAGAAGCAGCTTTGCATTCGGATAACAAATGTTTCTGAAATCTCAGTCTTACTGTTTTTAATAAGTGTCTAATATGGATAATAAATAAACTAATAAATAAAGTACATTGATAGAGAAATAAATGACAAAGCGAGAAGATACTGCTCACAAGTATGAGCTGACCTTAATGGAAGAAAGTTCTTTTTTGATCTCCTGCCAAAGTCTACAAGCAGATGAACTGGCAGGCTCTAGGCTTTCTTTAAAAAGCTCTTCCACTGTCCATTTTAGTTTTGTCAAATGAGAGGTTGCTACAGACAGTGAGACAAACCTGTGATCGTTGTACTTGGTGACTGGAGATCTCGGGGAAACTGTTAAAAGCAGACTTGAAATTAATGTAAGATTTCAAGAGAATGTTGTGTTTACTGAATGTAGGAGGAGGGAAATGAGACTTTTATTCTCTTTCATTTTATATTTTTCTGTCATCTAGGGCTACTGTTGCATTGTACATGGAAGATGAATGATCAGTCTTGGCAAGGGAACAGCAGAATTGTTACTTTATTAAACTCTTCTGATAGGTTATCTCAGATAGTCATGGTAGTTTCATTTTTGGTTTAAATGAGTCCCTGCTGAAGAGGAAACACAAATTTTGTCATGATCCACAAAATAAATTTCTAATAGACCCAGTCTTTAATTAGCAGACTTCTCAAGGGGGAGAGGTTAAAGCAAACAGTCCTATAAAACTTTATTTTTTTAACAATCAAAATGCTAAGAATAACGATTTTGAAATCCTGCCTTTACAATCCATCACTTTAAATAAGTGTAGTAGCCTGAAGAAAAATTCTGTTTAGTTGGAGCTGCTGTCTTTTGCCTTCGAGTAAACCGGAAATGCCTCATTTCAGTGAATGAATCTCTCACACCCTGGGTAATATATGGAAGAGGAGGAATGGTATAGACAAATAGGTAATTGACAAAATTGGTGCTGAAGGTGAGATGTCATGTCTGCAGGGAAAAGACAATTTTAATGCTACATTTTACATGTAATGAGTAAACTGGCGATTAAAACATTTGTGTATTTTTTTTTTTTTTTTAGTTAAATGATAGTACAAGGACGAAATTTGAACTGAAAGAGGCGAAGTCAGATTAACTTACCTATCTTGTTTGGAAGAGTGACATCTGTTAAATTTTGGCATTCTCTTTGTTTTATTTCTAGATGATGGCTGAGCTGAAAAGCTTCTGAAGCTTACCTGAAATATGCTATAGATACTTCTACTGATCTGTAGTAGCCCAGATGAAATAAGCATGTCCTAAGATAGCAGTAGATCTGGAGTATGAACTAGTCTACAGAAGCAAGTTGATTCCAGATTTGTTAGTGTCTTGATGGCTTGATGGCTCTCGCTTACCCTGTCTCTAAACCAAAGCCATCTTTCTACCAAAGCAATAAAGGGACAGTGCACAATTTGACTACAGAATGCTATTTCCAAAGAAGTGAACTGTGAAGAAAGGACTCATGAATTTTGATCACAGGGGCTTGGAGAGCATCTCTGGTAAGTTGAAGGATTAGCTGTTACAAACCCTGAATGTATCTAATGTTACAGAACACCAACCTGAAGACAACCTTAAGTTGCACATTCTTTGTATTGCTTATCTGATATTGCAAATGAATAAAGATGGTGAGTCCTCTTAACCAGCTTGTAAAATCAGCTTCCGTTGTAAAATGTGGTTTGTAAAATTCTGAGTCAATAATCACATTGGCATTTTTTTCCATTGAAAGATATTGGGGATAGTCTTCATCTTTAGTGGAAATGTTGGAAAGATAATAATCATATACCTTTGATAGGCAGTATTTTAACAACTTGGAATTAATGTTTCTTTTTTTTTTTCTTGTAATAGTTGTGAAGAGAATGGGAGGGATGATGACACAGGAAGAGCTAAACTTCCTTTCCAGGGCTTTGAGTATCATGTTTGTCAGAGCATGATTCTGTGTGTATGATAATGAATTTTATATTTGTTCCCTGATTTCAAGGCACTATTCAGTTGATTTTTGTAGTTATTTTAAGATTATTTACATCTATCTTCATTACCAAACAATAGGATAAACAGAAGAACAAGAAAATTGTGAATTTCCTTCAAAAAAGGGAAGTGTAACTCTGCTAAAGCCAATGAAACCTTACAAAATGAATAGCTGGTAAAATGTAAGTCTATATTTTAGTTCAATGAACAGGAGAAGATGGAAATTGAAGCTCATTAAATACATCATGGTCAAGAAGCCAAAGGGAGTCATGGCTAGACCAGCTTTCCAGGAAGTTGTGGAGTCAGTTGGGGATGAGGAACTTACAAATATAAAATGTAAATCAAGTATTGATTCATAAGCATTCTAGTAATTTGTCCAGTACAGAATAATTCTTTTCAAATCTACTGAAAGTTTATAAAGCATTTTATAGCATATAGAACGTGTATTATTGTGGCAATATTAAATATGTGCTGTATTTAATAGTAATGTGCTATCACTGGCATTTACTCCCTTTCAGATGTCTGCTCCAGTGAGGACCTTCCTGAGGTAGAGTTGGTGAGCATGCTAGAAGAACAGTTGCCAGATTACAAGTTACGAGTGGACTCCCTGTATCTGTATGAAAATCAAGACTGGATTCAGTCCTCTGCCTGCCATGGTCGTCTTCCTGAAATCACTTCTTCAGCTCATGCTGAGCCCTTCCATTATATGAGTGAGTATATTTGGGCCTAGGATTTTTTTTTCTTTCATTTATTGAAGATAAAACTGTAAATAGAAGATTAATACTGTTAATATTCTAAAGCGTTCAAATCTGGAAAACTTTGGACAGGTGGAAGAAAAAGCTGAGTTCAGGGGAAGTGCTTGTCATTCAGCACTGCAATTCTCAGGGCTGACCTAGCACATCCAATGCCTGATCATTAGATTGCACATAGAAGTAAGAGTGGGAACATGTGATAGGGAAAAAGAGGCAGGAACCTGGAATTGCTCTAGATTAGATGTAATACGAGAGGCGTGGAGTATGCAGCAGCTCTGTTTTTGGGAATGTTAATGATGCTGTGGTTCTCTTGATGATGTTTGCCTTGATGCTTTGTGTCAATGGTGCATTTGAAATGCTGTTAATGATTTCTTCTGAAGATGGAAATGGTGTAAATGACAGATAGGTGGGTACTAGATCAGTATTGATCACCACCTTCCAGTTTTGAAGATACTAAGTAGCTTATCCTTAAACGTAGCAGATCATAAGGAATCATAGAATGGTTTGGGTTGGAAAGGACCTCAAAGATCATCTAGTTCCAACCCCCCTGCCGTGGGCAGGGAAACCCTCCACTACACCAGGTTGCCCAAAGCCTCATCCAACCTGGCCTTCAACACTTCCAGGGATGGGGTGTCCACAACTTCTCTGGGCAACCTGTTCCAGTGCCTCATCACCCTCTGAGTGAAAAATTTCTTCCTTATATCTAATTGAAATCTCCCCCCTTTCAGTTTAAATCCATTGCCCCTTGTCCTATCACTACATACCTTTGTAAAAAGTCCCTCTCCAGCTTTCCTGTAGGCCCCCTTTAGGTACTGGAAAGCTGCTATAAGATCATCCTGGAGCCTTCTTTTCTCCAGGCTGAACAGCTCCAATCCTCCCAGCCTGTCTTCATAGGAGAGGAGCTCCAGCCCTCGGATCATCTTTGTGTCCCTCCTCTGGACTCGCTTCAGCAGCTCCATGTCCTTCTTGTGCTGGGGACTCCAGAGCTGAACACAGTATTCCAGGTGGGATCTCACGAGAGCAGAGTAGAGGGGCAGAATCCCCTCTGTCGACCTGCTGGCCATGCTCCTTTTGATGCAGCCCAGGATATGGTTGGCTTTCTGGGCTGCAAGTGCACATTGCTGGCTCATGTTGAGCTTCTCATCCACCAGCACTCCCAAGTCCTTTTCCTCAGGGCTGCTCTCAATCCATTCTCTGCCCAGCCTGTACTTGTGCATGGGATTGCCCTGACTCACATGCAGGACCTTGCACTTGGCCTTGTTGAACTTCATTAGGTTCTCACAGGACCACCTCCAGCCTGTCAAGGTCCCTCTGGATGGCATCCCTTCCCTCCAGCGTGTCCACAACACCACACAACTTGGTGTCATCTGCAAACTTGCTGAGGGTGCACTCGATCCCGCTGTCCATGTCTCCAACAAAGATGTTAAATAGCACAGGCCCCAGTACTGACCCCTGAGGAACACCACGAAGAAAATGGACAGCTTCCTATCACATGAAGAAACCTTTACTATGTTAAAAATCAAATGTATAAAGGCTGCCAGAAGAACTGAACACTTAACTTCCTTGTAGTTTCAAGTGTTTTCAAGTGAGAAGAGGAGAATACATTGTAATCACTTTGGATAAATGGAGAAGTCCTGTTTCCTCTCTGTATTGGAACAAACCACTTGGGAGAGTGAACTTGGTATTTATATGCAACCTTGGTATTTATATACAGTCTGTAATGATTACCTGTTCCTTGTACATGCCAGCTCTGAAAGGGTTTTTTTGTTGTTGTTTGTGCTTTAAGCCTCCACCCAGGGTGTATAATAAATGAGTAAGTAGAAGTGAAATATTACCTCCTGAGAATGCAGTAGTTGACAATTTAAAGCAATCGTGTTATCAGTTGAACTTGCAGGCTTGGAACTTTTTTTAACTGTGGAAAGTATTTGGAAAGCTGGTTAATGTTTATGTCTCGGTCTGTTTCTGATAATAATATTGCAAGCATAAATGATTTTTTAGTTGAGTGAACACTTCTGCAGTTCACTGGGAGCAGTTGCGTAGTCAGTGGGGTGTGTACTTGCCTGTAAGGTTTGATTATAAAGAGGTGGGAACAGAGTCTGTCAGGGCTGGAAGGAACTTTACATCAAATGTGGCTCTGCTGAAGCTCTCCAGTTAACACCTGCAGTTCCAGTGTAATGAGGCGCAGAGCTCTGAGCCAAGGACCTACAGCCAGTGTGAGCCTGCGTTCCCCAACTGCAGTGCGAGAGAGGAGTTTTATCAACGTTTCAGGGAAGGCAGTCATGTATTATTTAGCTGACAAGGTACTACAGAAAGTGGTGTCGTCTTCTTTCACTCAGTGAGAAGTTCTTTTTAATTAAAAGAAGTGTCCTGTGAAAATAATAAACTGCTTGTGAGAGTTTTTTGAACAGTTGCCATAAATGTTTTCTTGATGTTCTCAGAAATGAGCTGTAACATTGACTGACATTGAGTTAAAAGATAATTGTTAGGCATAACATACAAAACTAGTTCTGTCATTTAAGAACACTGTCCTAACTGCTGAGTCACAGAAACTCAAGATAAATACAGTTTATGTTTTTCCTAGAAGTTGTCCAAAGACATTGAATTTAGTGATCATCATACTAGTTTTTTTGAGCCTAGTAACTTACAGGGAGATAACTGGGAAGCTCCCAGACAATACAGATATAAATCAAGATCTAGTTATAATCATTGCTGAATAACTTGTTAGGTGAAATTGAGATCTTTCTTTCTGTTGACTGGAATTGGGGAAAAAATGTGACAATCATGCTCTTGAAGCATGACTTGGGTTTTTTATGTTTCCCTCTCCCCATATATGTATGGAAACGTTTGTATAACTTTTTCCTAAAGAGAGTGCTAAACTTGTGGTTGGAGTGCATTCGTAGTTGACATCCAAGGTAAATAAAAAATAAAACACCACCGCAGTTATTGCACTTGAGCTCCTCCTCTTTTTATGGCTGCTGCTCCCTATTAGAAGGTATATGCAAGGACTAGCTGAGTTCCCCCGGCAGTGTTTTCACTGATGTGGAAGAATATTTTCTGCTTCAACTGTGGGAGCATAGGACGCCCTGAATTACAAAACGTCTGTCTTTAGAACTGCTTTGTATCTGTGAATAAAGGGACATGGCGCAGCACAACAAGAATATTAACCAAAATGAGGAGTTGCTTGCAGCTTTCACTTGGCAAGGTGAGTGAGGAGAGATTGCACGTGTGTGTGTTCACAAGAGAGTGTTAGAACAAACCATGTGTACTTTTGATCCTGTACTGGGAGCACGTAACAAAAGTTGTAGAGAGCCAAGTTTCAAAGCTGTTAGTTCTGTTATTTCATGTATCAGAGTAAATATATTTGCTTTTAATTTTAGGAACCTGCTTACTCTGAGCAACCTTTTATGTAATTAGCGTCAATCTTTATTAAGTGCTGTAGCACTGGGTAGAAACTTTTAACTTGAAGTCACCTGGTGAGAACAGTTACCACAGGAGAGCTGGCTGTAGTGTTCTGCCTGTAATGGCTGAAACTTACTTGCGTATGTGCGGCGCATTTTCCACATACTAGTAAGCCGGATGAGTTTGGAGTCCCGTATCAGCAACCAAGTGGTACGGTAAACTTGGCCTCCGAAATGCATGTTATGCTACTGATAGAGACGCACTTTAAATTTTGTGAAGAGTTTCTATTTTTGCCCTGCGTAGAAATACCATTAGTAAACGGTACTGCTTAGGTTCAAAGCTTCTAAATACTTGAAGAGTGTGTGCTGGGTTTTTGTGCCTACTGATCTACTTGATAGAAGGCATCTGATTTGTTAGTTTGATTTATTTTTCTGTTTAGCTCTAAGAGAAACAGTTGGTAAACCTTTTTCTTCTACATTGTTCTTTCTGTTCTCCTGTCTCTTAAGACTGCAAGAAAGCTTCTTTCTCTACTAATATGCAACTTGTTTTTGTTCATGGCATAGCCTTAGTGTTATGTTTTAAAAGGTTAATTATGGACATTATATGTAAAGGACATACGTAGCTTATATAACATATGTAAATAAAGTTAGTGTGCTCTTCAGCTTGGCACTTCACTATCTCATAACTAAGTGTGTGGTCCTCAACAAGAACAAACAAAGAAGAAAACTGAGAACCAATACCACTCTGTATTCAGAGTATGAACAGATTTACATAAGGTAGAAGAGTCAAGGAAATCTTCAGAAATAGATTTAGACCAAATCCATAGGAATCTCGTTTTGCAGTGCAGTGATGGTGGAATTAGTCTCAAAAACCAGGTTAACTTAGACCTTCAGTTGAAGGATATACATCTATATTTGTTAAATTTGTATTGTTGCCTCCTTTACTTTCATGATCCTGATTCCATAAAGCAAAAATAGCAAATTTCTGTTGAACTTGGACAAGCACGGACATCCATCACCTGCAAGTGAGATGTCTAATTCTGCTCCTGAAGGGAGTCATATTTAAATGGTTCTTTAAAAGTTCTAAGAAAGTTTTTATAGTGTAAAAAATACGTTTACACATGCATTTATTTTTTTGGTGGAGGTGGATGCATGCAAATAAATCAGCTATTTCCTTACATGTTAATTCTTTCTCCTCTTTCTTATTTTTTCCCCCTGTATCTTTCATTTTCTGTTACTTCAGCTCTTGTTGAACTTCCTTCCTCTTCCATGACTGGATCTCACAAATTTGCTCAAGGTAATTAAGATCTCTTCTTTACTAACATCTTCTGTTTCTCAGACAAGAACTAGAGCAGACCAGTGCTTTCTGTTTTGGCACTGTGTTTTGTTCAGTTGTCACAAATTCTTCATGCTTTGTTTATTCTTGACTCAGTCCTGTTTTTCAAATCGTACTTGTTCTCAGTTTTTTAATAGTTTTACAAACTCTCCAAACTTCGAAGTCAATCAGTAAGACAGGATTTACTGCTACATCTAAACTGCAGACATACGTCATCCCATTTCTTTTTAATGGTTGCTAAGATGATCAAGCACTTAATAAACACATTTTCATGACTAGTCTCTGGAGTCTCCATACTTCCTGTGTACAGCTGTCACACGCACTAGTGGGAATTTGGTTCCAAAGGTAAAGTCTGCAGGTGTGTTCAGCTGTATTTAGATATGCTCCAGTATACTCTTCCCTCTCTCCCCAGCAGGCTGGATGATTTAATAGCTTAGCTGTATTCAAAAAGTTGATCTTAAGAGATTTTTATCCTTTTTCTAAATTTTCTAAATGTGTGAGCACTTCAGTTTTAGCTAATATTGCTGAAAGCTTTAAATGTTCAGTACCTCATTGCATCAGTCTCCCAAGTGAGTGTTGTTTCATATTTCTGAAGTTAAGATGCATTTTCATAGACTCTTCTAGTTTAATCGACTAAGGACTGTATTTGTATACAAACAACATCCTCTGAGTTTTAGCTCTCTCCCTTCCCAGCAGGCTTCTTGTACTTAAACTACTTCAGTAAAAACGTTTTTCTCTTCTCTAGTTCGTGGCACAGATAATGTGGAGCCAAAAACCTACACTGATGCTGACATGGTCAAACATCTGTTAGCTGAGGTATGCTCGTTTCTGTAATGCTGTGTTAATATGTTTTAGGACATGTATTTGAGGAAGGGTTTTATTCAGCTACTGGAAACTTAGGTTCAGTTGTCTTGAGGAGCTGCTGATCAAACACATGGGTAATGAGAAGCTGCTGATTGGGTTGCACCATCTCAGAAACAAAATTTAGCAAAACCATGGGCACCCATGAACCCAGTGAGGCGTAAGGAAGAAACAGCTTTCTTCTGCCTTCCTGTTGGGGCTTTGCTTCTACCCTCTCATCACTATTCAAGTTAAGCAGTCTGTTCTGGAGACAGTGTCATTTGAAAGACCACAGGCCTAAGTTTATGTGGCTTCTTTGGATGATTCAACAGAGCCTATATAACCTCTCCAGTACTCAGCACAGAACCCAAAACTGTCCCCAGCTTTCCCCTCCCCCTGTTACTGCAAATGGCTGTGGAAGAGAATGCACTTTATCAAGAAACGCAGTTATGGGTGTGTTCTGGATCCAAATGATGAAGCATTAATCTTTTTTCTAACAACGTTGATCCATTTGAGAGTGAAGGAAGATCTCAGAGTGGTGATGCATTAAACAATAGCTAGGAAAATCTAAAACTACTTTAAATTTAAACCTTATCTGATCAAAACTAGACATTTGTTCTCATTTTGTGAGCAGAAAGATCGAGACCTGGAACTGGCTGCTCGAATTGGACAAGCCCTCCTTAAGCGAAACCATCTGTTGACTGAACAGAATGAAGCACTAGAAGAACAGTTAGGACAAACTCTAGATCGAGTGAGTGATCTGTTTTTTTCTTTTTTTTTTTTCCCCCTTTTTTATGATAACAGGAAGAGGATTAATAGAAATACATTCTTTCATTGTGAAAGCAGGTGATTGCTGCTCTCAAACTACAGAAGTATGCTTAGAAGTAATTTTGCTAATTGTCATAGTTCAGTCAGCTGTCTTGGTCCAAGAGTTGACTATGAAGACAGCATGTTGTAATTACTGAGAAATTATGACCATGTTAGGTATTATTATAATATATCTACAGCAGGATTGCATTTTCAAAGTGTTTGTTTTGACCATCAGTCTGACATCCTGCTATTAAACTAAGAATCTAAGGAAAAAACAGTAGTTGGTGTCTGATATGACCTGCTGTATAACAACTTCACAGGTGAGGAAACAGCCAGAAAATGAGCTGGCCTAATGAAGTGCTTACACTAAAAAAAAAAAAAAAAAAAATTAAAAAAACAACAAATGTAATGAAAACTGAATTCCGCTCAAGAATCCAGCCTTTAAACACAGATTCTTGACCTAATCTTTTCTTTGTTGTTCTTTCTTAAAAAAGAATTAAATAGTTGACAACCTATCCCAAGTTTTTAACCCTAAGGTCAACCCATGTAGTCTAAGTTGCAGTGAAGTGGATTCAGCTGTTTGTATAAAACAGTACGCTGGTAATAAATACATACTCATAGTTAGCTGTAGGACAGCATAAACTTCTGTGTTCATATAAAAATATAGATATGCAGAATAGAATTTATCTGAATAGATCTGTCGCTTCTCTCATTTTTATTTATCCTGCAGTTCGTTTAATGTATGGACTGGGAGGGGACCAGTCTACACATATGAGTAGATAGATAGACAGATGTCTGTCAGTCCTTTTCTTCAGGAAGATGCAGTTTAGAAAAATGGTCATAGTCAAAATGATAATTAGCATATTAAAATGTAAACATGTATCAAAGCAGATGGAAAATTATTCTGAAGTAAGCTATTAAAAAAGTAGTCCATTCTTATGCTATCTTGAATTCTCAGTCTCCCTTAACAGTTAAAATGATGATTTTGAGAATGTTCTATAAAATAAATAGAGCCCGAATCTTATCTGCAAATAGAAATCGGTCGTGGCCTGTGAGCTGTTTGTTAATTTCATTTTAGACTGGAGCAGTGACGTTCCAAGAGGCTGCATAAGTAATAACACTGTACCATTGTGAAGCTAAAGTGTAATTCACAAGCTGGTGATCTGCTTTTGTCATAGGTTAACCAGCTGCAGCATGAATTGTCAAAGAAAGATGACCTGCTTCGCATAGTTTCGATCGCTTCTGAGGAGAGTGAAACAGATTCCAGCTGTTCCACACCACTTCGTTTCAATGAGTCTTTCAATGTATCACACGATCTGTTGCAGCTGGATGTCTTGCAAGATAAACTGAGGGAGCTGGAAGAGGAGAACCTTGCTCTCAGATCGAAGGTATATCCGGCTTACAGTGTATGCCACATATGCCGGATATGAAATAAATCAGGATGGTTAAAAAAATTCAGCATTTTGATTTCTCTTGAAGCATATGACTATTTCATATGGCTGTATTCAAATCATACCCAAACACTTTCCCTTCACGCCCCACACCCTTCTGTTTCCTTCACTACTCCTCATTATTTCCAGAGTCTTCTAGTAATCCTTCCTCAATGCCTTTATGGTATGTGAAAGAATATGGGAACATATGTAAGCACCCAGCAAACGTACTTGGACCTGTCAGGCCTCAAGTTTGTGCAACCTGTTTTGATATAAACCTGACTAGGATTAGTAGTCGTGCTTTGGGAATTCAGTTGCATTGACTTTACGTTGTTGTCCGCCTGTATGCAGTATCACGAGTTAGTAAGCTCCTATTCAAACTCTTTTGAACATACACTTAGTTTTGACTACGCCATTAGTCTCTGTGTTTTAATTGATCTCTCTTGTGTATAAAAGATGAAAAAAGGCACTGTGCCATTACAAGGATAGAGACTAAATGGCCAGACAAAATGGCTATAAAAGTCATCAAACCAACAGCAAAGGTTGCAAGAATCAGGATCTACAGATGCAGTGTCTCTTCTTCAGAGGCGGAGAGGGGAACCTGTGAAGTAGGAAATTGGTTAAAAGTGGGGGGTTTTGTTGATTTTAAGAAAAGGGGGGTGGTGTTTGTAAGAGAGGTGTGGGGTTGTTTGGGTGGGTTTTTGGTATGCATGGTTTTCTGGGTGGTTTGTTTGTTTGTTTTATGTGAGCCTTTCCCAATATACGCTTGTTACAACCGTACAACAGAGACCAGATTCCTTTAATGTGAACAAAAAATACCTTTCCCCTTGTTGTCTCCAAAATATTCAGCCTGAGATGCACATCCTTCCTAAAATTCCCTGAGACCAAATGGATAGCTTAGTAGTGCTGGAGGAGAAGATCAGACTGCTTTTATTATGCTCTTCACCCTGTGTATGATTACAGAACTTTACAGGCCAGGGATTAATTTAGTCACCTTATGCGAAGAAATGGTGTTGAAAAGGGACTGCTGTCATTCTGTGATGAAACATACCCTTCACTGACTTGAAATAGCCTCAATCGTATTGAGCCTGTATTTGCTTTTTTTTTTCCTCCTCCTGTGACAGCTTTATGTAAAACAGTGTGTTTGTCTGCACTTGTGTAGCTGTACTTCTGCTTGCTTGGATAATCTTTAAACCCATTTACTAAGTTGTGTGGTGAGTCACTTACTGGCAAACAGTCCTGAATATTGAAGACTTACGTGTGCAGAGTTTAATATTATCATCCTCACATCCTCACCATCAAAACCAAAGTAGGAATCTAGTATGCTTGATGTTATTTGACATGCTGTGATACTTGGTCTCTGGCCAGAAAATTTACAGTCTAAATAGACTAGTTGGGGAATACGGAGAAAAGCTGTTCTACTGAGAGCTTGTTAGTGCTGTAAAAGATTTGGCTAACATCATTGAGTTTTCAAGATTTCTTTGCCCTAAGAAGTTTTGAAGCAAATTCAGTTGCTTACTTCTGATTACTGTATTGGTTTACTCTCCCTACCAAATCATATGTTTTTGCAACAATTTTTTATTAGAGGCGTGAGAGAGATCAAGTTTTGTTCATATGTCTATGTGTCTTTCACTCGAAAGACCTACGCAATTCAAGGAAACGGGTTATGGTAGAAAAAATGGTTAGGAAGTGTGGCCAGATGCATAGATGTTATGAAGATAGATGGAGAGGAGACTCTTCAGTTGCAAGAATTTCAGAAATGAAAATTTAGAACATGAACATATGTATAAATAAACTGAATACCAATAATTTTCTTGAAGGCTTGCCATCTGAAGACAGAAACTATTACATATGAAGAGAAGGAACAGCAACTGGTCAATGACTGTGTCAAAGAGCTCCGTGAGTATCCAGGCTGTATCTTGCAATGGCAAAATGGTATTTGAAATACGCAGTGCCTACACCTTCTTAGTTATCCCCAAATCCAAAAATGAGCTTCAGTAATTTATGCGAATTATTCAAGTCTTGCTCTTTACTCGAGTGCAAAATTGTTTCTATATTTCATCAAGTTTCACTCTGGTATTCAGCTTCAGGTATGGGTACTGTGTTTAGAGAGAGAAAATGAACACAAAATCTAATGTTCGTAAACCTCCTCAACTGAAGCCTAGGGACACCAGAAAATAAACAAAATATACTTCTTGTATAGAGTATTCAGCACACATGACATTGAAATGTATCAGTGCATAGACTCTGAAATGCTCGCTCTAAATTACTATATATTTATGAACACATTAGTTTATTTTTAAAATATATATTATAAACCAAAGCGTTTAAATTGGCAAGTGTTTTAATTTGTCTAGAACGGTTGTCTGTATTTTCTGTGAGGACTACTTATTTGCAAAGAATTGCAGCTGCTCTTATACAAATGCAGGTAAGTATTCTGAAACAATAAAGAACAATCCTTTTTTTGTGTGTGGTGATTGTGTAACCTAGTGGTACAATTTTTTATCTGTAGTCATTTGATGTGTGCTGCTTCCTTTGTGTGTAATAACTTAAGCTTATGTTTCAAGATTTTTTTTTTTTCTGCACAACCCACCATAAAGAAGACTGGCCTGCTGCTTGATTTCTTGTGTTCCAGATGACCGTAAAATACTATGAATTGATACATAGTTGGTTGTTAATTTACTCTGTTCCCTCTGAAAAAATATATATCCTTTGCAAATAGAAGTTATTTCATATAAGCTCTTCTATTTTCCTTCAATGAGAATTTCTGAGAGTTGTGTTTTGTCCAATTCTGTAGCACATATAGCCACAATAGGTAATTTAGACTCACAGAAAGAATGTTCTCCCAAAGGGTCTCTAATCTACAGCTTTAAAATCTGTGTCTTCAGGAAAAAGGTACCTGACTGTGAGCTTAAATGTCCACAGGCCCATGGGCAGGACCTTGTTCTGCAGTAAATCTGTGAGGTACAATAACCACTAAATTTGTAGTGTGACCTTTATGCCAGATGGATCAGACTTCACTGTGACTTTGCTGTGCTCTCAGGGCAAGTGTACAAGCAATACTAACTACATAAAAATATTTCAGCTTTTTGGGTTGCTTTGTCATCTCACTTGATAACGTGCTTGCTCAAAAAAAAAAAAGAAACTGGAGATTGTATGCAGTGGGAATATATAGTGACTGGAGTCAAGAGCTGAATAGGTGTGTGTTACGCTCGACAAGGTCTGACAAAATGCTTTTGCTTACAGAGAATGGCAGTAAATAACAACATCAGTTCAGAGCCTGACTCCTTCAGCATATTCCAAGTCTGGCCTTGGTCATGACCAGTATGTAATTTGAAATCATTTATAGCAGCTTAACTTGGATTTTGTTATGGTTATTGCACATATCGGTGATATGTATTTCAGGTTCTGCATACTTAGCTCTTCATATGTTACACCGGCATTTGAAGTTAACTCGCTTTCTCCTCCTTTTCCCCACCGTTTCTCTTTATGTTTTCCTTACAGATGTTCTAAGGCACCTACTCTTACGTACTATGAATTGGTTTCCTAAGAGCATTGGTCATTTTGCAGATTGTTGTTAACTTTCACTGATCTTTTCTGGGTTTTGGGTTTGGGTTGGGTTTTTTCATGTGTTGGGAAAAGCTCTCTAATAAGTTCCTTGTATGTTTTGTAGGGCAAACAAATGCTCAAATTTCCAGAATAACAGAGGAGTTGTCAGAGAAGAGTGAGGAGTTGGTTCGCTACCAGGAAGAGATCTCATCCCTCTTATCTCAGATTGTTGATCTTCAACATAAACTCAAAGAAGTAAGGGAATGCTCATGAAGAACGTGCGCACGTGTGTGTGTGTGTGTGCGTGTGTACATCAGTGCTTACAGCAGGTACAGATTGACGTGCAAGCCAGGGGGTTACACTGCAAGACAGTGGCTGTTCCAGGGAAGTATCACAGAGGATCAGTTCTCTCGGGGGAATCGACTGAGAAAATGATGAGCACCTTTTTTTGCTTTCAGCATGTGATTGAAAAGGAGGAGCTGAAACTTCACTTACAAGCTTCTAAAGATGCTCAGAGACAACTGACAGCAGAGGTACTTAAGGCTTCTTACATATATATATACACACATTTAGATAAATGTTTAGGTTAGAATACAAGAGAAAGAAAACTAAGAAAAAATGGGAACTATTGCTTTTTAATTATGTGGAGCTTTTCATTGTGGTTGGAGTCACATGATTGGTGGAAAAGAATAATTATTGTTATTTAAGTTGACACAAATATTTTTGTAGTTCTCAGGAACATGACAGGCAAGGAAGGTGTTCCAAGTAGGGAGGTCTTACTATTCTTAGTAGTTACAAGAAAAAGAGTGGTTTATTGTGAATATTACTGGTTATATCAACAATACCATAGTTCATTAGATTTTAAGGAAGTCCTCTTTTTTGCTTGTTTTGCATCAGCAGTTACTGTAGTTCATTAGATTTTAAGGAAGTTCTCTTTTTTGCTTGTTTTGCATCAGCAGTTACTGTATTTGCGGAGTTTTTCAATGTATTTTCCTTTGGATTTTATCATACTTTTTCCAATTTCGAGTCGCAGTTTGGTCTTCATGCTTCACCACTAAAATCGATGCGGGTGCTATGCTGACCGTTGTCCGTTCCAGATGCTGGCATGTGCCGTGCAGTTGAAAATATTACAGTGTTGAATCAGTCGATACAGGTCGCTGTAAGAGTTAATTCAGTTTCATTCTGTCTTTTCTTTGAAGCTTACTGGCATCACGTGCTGTCCTCTTTTCTCTTTCAGCTGCATGAGTTGCAAGATCGCAATGCAGAGTGTCTAGGGATGTTGCACGAATCACAAGAAGAAGTGAAGCTGCTGCGCAGCAGAGCCAGCTCTCTTGCTTGTCTCTGCCACCCCCAGTCACGTGGAGCATTTCCTGTGGTAATACCGTGCAGTGCACCTGCTGGCACGTAGGGCCTGTAGCACCAGGCGGTTATACACGTGAAACAGCTGTTACAGGAGCTGCAGCAGGAACTGTTTTGTAGGAGGCGAAGGAGCTGATCTAATGATTTTTCATGTGTACACTTTTGAGAATTCTGTGTAGTAGGAAACTAATTATTTACTTGCCTTACAGTGGTACTGAAATTATTTTTCCTTCTTATATGCCTTTCCTGTTAAATACAGAAATTGGCATGTTCTACAGCTAGTGCTCAGTTCTGCTAGTCTATTGTTCAGTGTTGATGTGAATTTTATAACTTGACAGTGTTTCTTCAAGAAACAACGCATCTTTTCAAGACTTCGAAGAGTATTTTTGTTCCTTTGTGTAGTTTATGATGTAGTTGTGTGTCCTTATCTCGTGAGATTAAATTTTAAGCATCATCAGAAATGCATGACTTTAGACTAATTGCCAGAAATGAATAAACCAATGGAAAAGGGGTAACGGCATTTATTTTCCTCTTCTTACTAGTGTCAGGTTGTTCAGATTGCTATACTCTCAAAAATTTCTGTGCTGTGTTAGGAATTTGTCAGGTTTTGGCTGGTTGTTCTGTGTATACAGAATCTCTCGTGTATGTGTTTGGCCTTGTAAGGAGTGCTCCTAAAGCTTTAACTTAAGAAACCAACATAAAGAGTACCAAGAAAAAGCAGATGTTGCTAATGCAAGCTGAACCCATACTGGTTATACGTAAGCGTAGTTATGGTGGAAAACTGTCCCCTGTGTCCTTCCTTCAGAGGGGGAAGGGTTTGTCCGAAACATACTGATACCAGGGAGACAAATGGAGACTTTCTGAGTATTTTTTCAGATGTGTTTTCTGCTAAAATTGTTAAGAGGAAGACCTGAATCTAATTTGTCAACTCTTCTGGTTTCCATTTTTCTCTAGGATTCCCTTGCAGCAGAAATTGAGGGGACAATGCGGAAGGAATTGAGTCAGGGTGATGAATCTGTTCTTTCCAAGCAGAAGTATGTTTTCAGATCTCTATGTGCTATTTCAAAATTTTTCCATATGCTTGTATTAAGTAAAGTGAAACTGATTTCTGGAAATCTATAGATGTGAATGTTCCCTCTATAATGATTTTTCTGTGTAACTTAATAAAAAAAGCTGTGTAGTATTGGGTAATATTTTCAACTTTGAAACCTAGTATTCTTATTTGATTCTATGAGGAAGTTGGGAATTTGCTAAACGGATGTTATTTCATTCTTTAAGTTCTGAGATTTTTGATGCAAATTCTCTGATGCACAGTGCTAGTTTTATCCCTTTTAGTGCTTATAGAAAAATTCCCAGGCAAATGAAATTATAGCTGAAAGACTGGTAAGTTTCCAAAGCCCTGAAGACCTGTTCCTGGATCTCTTACTTCTGAGCAAGAAGTAGTATATGATTTCAGAAGCATATATTTAATTTATAAATTAAATAAATAAAGTACGTGCTCTCGAACGTTCTCAAGTTGTTAACAAGAGAAATTCAGGTCTTTTAGGTTGAAGTTAAGTGGTAATTCTGACATTTAATAGAGTAGTACTCCTGAAACCAGGAGTGTCTTAGGCAATCATGTTTTTCTGTGCTTAAATCTTTTTAGTCAGGTCTTGGCAGACTTTTGAAAGTCTGTTGTTCAGACCTTTTTCTTTATTATATCTTTTTCAAAACGCTTCTGAAAACCACATTTGTTCGCTTGCCTTTTCTGCAGGAGTCAACAGAAACGAGTGTTTGACACTGTCAAGGTTGCTAATGTCACACGTGGCCGCTCCTCTTCCTTTCGTGCCCCATTGCCAATCCCTGGATCTAATCGGTCAAGTGTTGTTATGACAGCAAAGCCCTTCCAGTCTGGCATACACCAGTTGGAGAGCCACACACGGATGACCCAGAGGAGCAGCTCTGAGAAGGATCTGAAGTAGGGAACACAGCCCATTACCTTCTTTCTAAACTAACTGAATCAAAACTAAATCCAGACTGGAACTCTGCTGTGTAAGAGAGAAATATTTAATTTAATGGTCTTAATATCTATTACTGTTTGATGTTTCTCACAGAGACACTTGTAATCCTGACCAGCCGGGAACCCCTGGAGGCAGTGACTTAGTCACAGCTCTGCACAGGCTCTCCCTCCGTTGTCAGAACTACCTGAGTGAGAAGCAGTTCTTTGAGGAGGAATGGGAGCGAAAAATGCATTTGCTGGCTGAGCAGAAAGAAGGGGCTAGTGGCTGTAGTACACCGACAGAAAGCTGCTTTTCCCTTGGTACAAACTCAGAATTCACTGATCTCTCTGCCAGCTCTAGTAATCTGCGTGTCCTCCTACCAGAAAAATTGCAAATTGTCAAACCCATTGAAGGTAAGAGGATGATCTTCCTTCTCTCAGCAGCAGAAAAGGATTTTACATTAATTTGCCAAGTAAATCATAGGTATGATATGCGGTAAGAGGAAGTAGTGGTATTTGGTAGGCTACGAACCAACTAGCTCATCAGTATCACTTTCTACTTGACTTTCGTATACAGTGCTAAGTGTTAGGCTTTGTCTTGGCGTTGCCATCCAAGTGCACCATGTGTATCACAGTGTCGGCACCAGTTGGAGTTGTTTTGATTATGAATTCTGGTTAACTCAATACGGTAGTAGGTAATGGCGCTCTCAGACTCTTCTCCTTTGTCACACCAGGATCTCAGACCCTTTTTCACTGGCAGCAGCTTGCTCGACCCAACCTAGGCACCATTCTCGACCCAAGACCAGGTGTTGTTACAAAAGGTTCTACCCCTCTGCCTGATGATACTGTGTACCACATCTCTGACTTGGAGGAGGATGATGTGGAAGAAGATGAAGGAGGTATAACATTTCAAGTGCAACAGTCCTTCCCAGAGGAAAAGAAATGTAGAGTGGCAAAGCCACTGGCAGGGATTTTCCTGCCACCTATTACTTCAGCAGCAGTACCACTCACTGGTAAGAAGCACGGTTAGTGGGTTTGGGTTTTGGTTTGGTTTGTTTTTTTTCCTATGTCTTTTTCTCAATGGAAAGTATTTGACCTTGTAACAATGCTGTCTTTGCTCTTTACTTAAAAAAAAATAAATCAGTAGTGATAGTAACATTATCTTAAACTTTGCTTTGATTAGTCCTTATCTAATAATATCTAATCTAATAATAAATAATATCTAATCTAATAAATTAGTCCTAATCTAATAATATGTAATCTAAATAATAATATCCTTATTATTTTTACCCTCAATGGATGTAAATTTTCCACATTGCAGCCTCGAATCCAGGCAAGTGTCTGTCTTCCACAAATTCCACATTTACCTTTACTACCTGTAGGATCCTTCACCCATCTGATGTCACTCAAGTTACTCCCAGGTATGATGACTGCTGACATCCCAAATGTTGCTGCATAGGATTGAACAGTTGCTTTCTGGCTTCTGATATATGGACCAGTTTTAAGAAATACCAAGGCAGCTAGGCAACACATCGGATGTTACTCATATGAATAGTTATAATTACAAAGGGGAAACTTGAAATTCTCTAGAGTGAGAGTTAAAACAGGTTAGGGTAACTTAAAGTAAATTTATACTCTTAAATAGATAATGCCTTGTATTGTATACCTATTGTAAAAAAAAATAAAAATTGGTACTACCTTAGTTTTTTTTTTCCGATTGTGTCATAATTTTTTTGAACTAAGTTATTACTGGACATCTATGTTGATGTTCTATCTAATACAGTATAGGTGACCACAGAAGGTACATTCATTGGTACTTACACCAAAACTTCTCTGTCAACTTAGTATCTTCTAAATACTTTGCAGAACAATAATTCTGAATCTACTAAAGCTGAAACTGTCGCAGCTAATAGCAATAGTTTACATTTTCTCCAGCCTTCTGTGTACTAAAAGGCAAATACAGAGCAGAGCAGGTATAAAGATGTCTAATGTGTGCATCTTCTCTCATTTTTATTTTATTTTAGCTCCGTGGGTGCCCCATTTTCACTTGGAAATACTGGCAGCAGTATTGGAAACCCAGTAGTGAGCACTCCAGCCATGTCTTACAGGCTTAGTATTGGAGAATTTCTCACCAACAGAAGAGATTCAACAACTACCTTCAGCAGCACGAGCAGTCTAGCTAAACTTCTGGAAGAACGAGGCATCTCTGCCAAAGTTTATGATAGCCCTGTATTAGAAAAACTGGCTTTGATACAGCCCCCTCGAACTCTCCCCATTCCTTCTACTCCACCAAATTCTCCCTCGCTTTCACCTTGTCCTTCCCCTCCACCGTTTGAGCCTCGAATGCATCACTTGGAAAATTTCCTGGCTTCTCGACCAGCAGAAACATTCTTGCAAGAAGTGTATGGCCTAAAGCCCTCCCGCAACACTCCAGATGCAGGCCAGCTGAAGATGAGCCTAGTGGACAGACTGAAGAGGTTGGGTATTGCCAGGGCGATCCAGCCCCCTGAGACACAGGACCACAGGAAGAATCAGGGGCCAGAGGTTAGCTTGCGGAGGCAGGACTCAGCTGTGTTTTTAAATGCAGGTAGCAACTTAATGGCGGGACTGAGAAGAAACCAGAGTCTTCCAGCCATGATTGGAGCATTGGGAGCTGCAGTTTGCACACAGTCATCAAAAATGGATATGCTAAAGGAGGACTGACTGGTCTGAAAAACGCTTGACTTCTTGCATGGTAGATAATACATGAGGGATAAACATCCAGTACAGGCATCGTTAGAAGTGTTACAGAAGAGTTGGAGAAGGCACGTGCATGTTAAAGATGTGGGAGAGAGAAGCGTTGGGATCAAGGAGAAAAAGAACATCGCCTGGGTTTGAGGAAGAAGGCTTTTGTGGAAGACAAGAAAGAAGAAACCAAAGCTTAGTTTTGAGACTCCCTTGAGCATCTGTCTTAACCTTCAGCAAAAATAAAGCACCATTGTAGACATTCTCAGTATTTTAACCTTTAAAACTGTATGTGCAGAACTGTCTTGCAGGTGCCGTTCTATTTTTTCCACCATACGACCATAGTATTTGACTAGTTGTTAGCAGTCAGGCTGTATCATTTAAATGTGGTATTAAAATAACAGTCAGTCTGACCAGCATCATTGGTCCAAATTCCTCTCTGGAGCAAGCAAATATGAAAACTCGGATTTTTTTTTTTTATTCTTGTATTTTCCACTTCAGAAACTGTACTCTTTCGAGCTCCTTCCTGCTTTGAGAAGCAGGGGAGAGAACCTGTAAGTCTATGAAAGAAAACAATACTTCTGTTTACAAACACAGAAGCTGGTGGTCAGGATTTATATTTTGAAAGAGTGCAATTGTGCTAGTGAGGTATTGACAGAAGTTAATTTCTTTCCTGAGCTTCTGAAGCACACAGAGGAAGGTGCAATGAATAGGAATTAAGATGCAGGAAATTATGTATTAGTGTGAAAACTTCAAGCTAAGAATCTTTCCAAAGTGTGCTGTGCATCTTTTTAAATGAGGGTATTTTTGCACATACAAAAAAAATCTCAGGCACGTTTCAGTGTTGCAAAAGGAAATAAAACCTAGGTGCTTGATTCAGGGTTTCTTCTTGTTTGATACAAGCGGAGAGTGTTTACTTCACGACAAGTGTTGCAAATTCAGTGAGCTGACTCTTCTTTTGACAGGCACACATTCTGCATGTTTTGAGAGTTCTGCAGTAAACTTCATGCCTTTTATTCATTTATTTCTGCAGAATTTTGTTTGAAACGTTTCATGAAGAGCAAAATTTACCAGTCTATATTCAGAAACAGGAAGATGAAAGCTCGTGGGTTTTGTAGCTTTTTAATGAACATAAATCACATTTGTCTACACTGAAATCCTGTGTTTGGATGATGGAGAGTGGTTCTGAACAAAGCTGAGGCAGACTTTCCATCTCAAAAGAGAGAAGTCCATTTTAGAAATCTGATTTCTGAGTGGTAATCAGCAAAATATTACTGCTCGTGCTGCTTTTTTGATTCCTTCTTGTCCAAGGTTCTAGTCATTACTGAATAATCTACAATAGATTTATAGTGTAACTTAGAGTAGAAAAACAGTTTGCCCAAAATTCCTTGGAGGAATGGGTCTTCACTAGTGACCTGAATGGAAACAGGTTCTTAATCTTCATGTAATTTTTCACCGTACCTATCAATGTTTTAAAATTATTTTCAAGTTTC